AGTCAGGAAAGCTAAGTGAAGTGTATGGCTTGAAATGTGTATATTCTAAGCTGTTTCTAGTTCAAAACTTGATGTATTGAGAAAAATACTTTTTCTGTGTTATATCCTGTTTCTTTTGAAGCAGAACAAAACACTGACTTTGGCTATGCTTGGGACACATGGTTAAATATCAAGAGACAATTCATGAAGATACAGGACTTAAAGTGCCATACTCTGCTTAGAAACAGATTGTTATGTTAGTGCTCATCATATTTTTGTCTTCAGGGTAAAACTCAAATTTTTTTCTCTTCAGCTGTTGATCTCTAAGTCCCTTTGTATTGCTTGGTGGTTCTTTCTGTAGAAATTAGGTAGATTGTAAAGCAGTGATCTGTTCTTGTTTTCCAGCAAGCGTGCATGTGTGGGCAAGTTCAATGTGGAAGATTGAGAGAGTAATTGTTTCTAGATCTGTGGGTTTTTTTGTTGTTAGGGTTTTTGTTTGGTTTTTTTTTCTTCTTTCTAGTCAGATATTTAGTTTAACTCCTGAATGACCAACAGTCGTAAAACAAATAATTGGTACACTGAGGCATTAACTCCACACTGGTGCAGTTTAAGGCTGCATGAAGGTTAGTGCTGTAAATTAAGCATAAGCTTAGTAATGAGAATATATATGCATTCATATAAGGCCAAAGTACATCTTAAAAGTTACATCTAATTTTACTGGAGAAGTCCAGGGGAGGGCCACAAAGATGATCATGGGGCTGGAGCACCTTTCCTGTGAGGACAAGACTGTTTGAGCTGTTCAGCCTCGAGAAGAGAAGGCTCTGAGGAGAGCTTATAGCACCTTCTAGTACCTTAAGGGGCTCCACAGGAAAGCTGAAGAGGGACCTTTTGTCAATGAGTGTATTGCTAGGGTGGAAGGGAGTGGCTTTAAGCTGAAGGAGGCAAGATATACCCTAGCTGTTAGGAAGAAATTCTTCACTGTGAAGGTGATGAGGCTCTAGCACAGGTTGCCCAGAGAAGCTGTGAATGCACTATCCCTTAAAGTGTCCAAGTCCAGACTTGGATGGAGCTCTAGGCAACCTGGTCTAGTGGAAGGTGTCCCTGTCCAGAGCAGGGTGTCTGAAGCTAGATGATCTTTAAGGTCCCTTCCAATCCAAATCACTCTGTGGTTCTACTAGGATGAGGTGCAGAAGGTGCTCAGTTGACAGTTTCACTCCAAACAATGTCCCTAGAATAAGTGACTATTAGAGGAACTTCATGAAAAATCATTCCTTCCTTAAAGAAGGATCAGGTCAGGATACTGAAGAAGAGCTATTCTTAGATATTTGATTTAGACCTTTTCTCCTTCAGTCTAGGGAAAAAGTAGCTCCATTCATAGGAAATGTTCTGTTCCCCTGAGTATGTTTTCTTCTACAAGCTCTTCTGGAAGCCTACTTTGCATTGCATTTCTGCTATGAAGTTTAAGACTACTACTGAAGTTGCACTTGAAGGAAGAATAGTTTGAAAGTTGTCTTCATGCAGAATCTAATACTTCTGTGCCTTTTTGAGGAGTCAGTTGACAAAACCCATCCTGGCACAGGTTTGGGGGCCTGTCTGATGACTGGGCTCAGGAGCCAGGCTGTCCTTGTGCTGGTTGTACATCCTAAGTGTCTTTAGGCTCTTTTGGGAGGTGATCATGCACACAGCAATTGGACTGCCTGATCTTTGCCTTCAGCTCTTTCCAAGTAAAAAGCAGGTGATGGTCTTAGTTTGGTCTTACATTTTGCCCTAAGTGCAAACAAACCTCTTTCCAGCAGCAGCATTTGTCATAGTTTTAGTGTGGCATTCAAGTGCTGGATATGAGGCAGGAGCAGAGGCAGTGATATACAGGTACGTCTGTCTGAACATTGGGAGACACCTTTTCACTGTGAGGATGGCACTGGCATTGTTTACCCAGAGATGCGGTAGAGGCTCCATGTGTGAAGGTCTTCTGAAGACATCCAGATCTGGACAGGTGGATTCAGGTGGCCCTGCTTGAGCTTGGGGTTGGACCAGAGGACCTCCATTCTAGCTCAGCCAGTCTGTGATTCTGGGCCTCTGACCACAAGGACTGTAGGCACTTCTCTGATTCTTCAGATAGTCAAGTGAGAGCAGCTGATGATTAGTGTTCCTGTTGGGTGTACTTGACTGTGGTTAGGCTCAGTCAGGCTTCATCTCTGTGAGTTTCTAGATGAATGAACTTGCAAGTTATTAATCTCTGAGCACAGACAGATGAGGCTGGAGGTGAACAGACTGTTGTAGTTTCTGGAGCCTTTTGCAAATCAGGACCCATTTAAAATAAAGGCTCTAACTTTTCATTTTTCTTTCTTAGTAATGCATGCTTACTTGTTCTAGAGCTGAATTCAAAGAGGAGATCCACACATTCAATGCCTGCTCTGCAGTGCTGCTGAAATGGTTCATCCAGTTGTCAGAATATTGATAGTTTATTTGCTGAGCAACCTCTTTGTTTTCTGAAGCTGTTGATGAAATAATTTAACTCAGCTATGGCAAATATAAGTTACAGAACAGACTCTGTTCAATAGCAGTGGCACTACTCATACCTCTCCTTCCTGGTGATGCCAGGGAAATGTTAGCTGTTGGCTTACTGATGTCCGTGGCTCAAAAACCTGCAAATGATCACACAGAGAATTATTACATTGTTACTGTTCTGAGATAAAAGCTCTCTTCTATCAGGTTGAAGGGTAGCATGCTGACAAATTAGATGAATAAGTGAGGTACATAAAATTGGAAGACAGAGTTTGTGGTTTCTATTTTCTGTGGAACTAACAGCAGCCTGAAGAGTGTGCTGCCCCAGCAATCTGCTTGTCAGGTGCTTATTTCATTTGCAGCAGATACTTCTGGAGGAACCCTGATTTTAGTAATACGTTTTTTGGAAATTGTTCAATTGTGGATTTCTTGTGATAAGGCAAGATCAGTTTGTGCTTTGAATGTGCAATTGAAAATTCATCTAGAAAATTAGACCTATGGTGCTCAGCAGCAGATGTCTGTGGGAGGCAAATACCTCCTTTTTTCCTTTCTACCTTTTCCTTTCCCCTCCAGCTGGATGATGGGAGGCTGACAGCTGACCCAGCAATTAGCAGTGCTGTAACTAGCATAGCCCTGTGTAATCTTTCCCTCCCCAGAGCCCACAGGAGCTTCATTCAAGTTCCCAGTGCAACACCATGGACTCTGCAGGACCTAGAAGTTTCCAGGGTGCACATGCATTGTAGCTCGGGAGTAGAAACAAAGGGTTTAAGCATTTGAGGCAATTAATGGGACATAACAGCCTGTAACCCACTAAACCAATGTGAGCAAGCTTTGAAAAAATAACCTGCAATATTTATCTAGATGTTTTCTGATCATCCACATGCCTCTGTCTGTGTGTGATCATGCATAGCTGGCAGGCAGCTGCTCCCTCTGTCCTTTAGTGCTGTTGATGCATCCAGGTAGCCTGTAAGTCTTTTGGAAGTGGTTTCCTAATCCCATCTAGAAGACCACCCGAAGATTTTGTTCCTGCAAGTTAATTGCCAATTGTAAATGCGCTGAGCGGAACAGCAATGCAGTTCCAGAGCAGCCAATTACATTCTTTTCTGTAACTTCTTTGGTGCTGAGTCTTATCTTACATGCTTAGCTAATGGTTGGATTTCTTGACATGAACAGGTGTCAGATGAATAAAGATTTCATTTCTTGGGTATTGGATTGTGGTTGACTTCAGTTGTCATATCCTGACAGTACTCTCCCCTTCACTTTGGAATTAAGTCTATGAAAATGAGATTAGACAAGGCTGTCTGGCACCACTTTCTCTTGGAATGGAGTAAACCTTTGAGTAAAGGCACTTGAATAAATTGCTGGAAGTGCCTCTTCAGAGCTTCTGGCACAGATGAATTCTTCTACACAAACTCTAGGAGAAGTTCTGTTTCTCTGCTGATAAATTGGTTTTAACTGTTCAGGGAAAAGGAAGCAGTGACAGTATAATTGTAAATTAATTCAGGCCAGAAGGAGCATCAGGAGCTTGCTGCTCAAAGCAGGATCACTTTCACTATGAATGTATTTATAGACTCCTTTTGCTTAACATCCTTTGCACCCTGTTTCTTTCACTTTCTTTATCTCCATGCGCACACATATTTGGCAGTATCAGCCCCAGATGCGGGCCCCCCTCGGTAAATAAGATAAAGAACGAATGGTGACTGCATTACTTGCACAAAAACTTGTTGCAAAACTAATCTGCAACAAGTCAGTAATCTCACCTGCCTGTTTATGAGTGTGTCTATATAAACTGCAAAATGTTTCCATGGTCTGAAGAGTGTGTTGAGATTAAGTATTCAAATTCTCTAGTTTTCAGGAAGGATGAGACTAGAATGCACCTGCACAGTTTGTCTTGTTATTGTTATCAACTTCTTTGAAGAATGTGGCGTATAATCCAGGGAACAGTATCAAAAGTAGGAGGTAGATTTTCCCTAAGCATTTTTTTATGCAGAGAAAATGTCACCTTTGCCAACACTTGGCAGTCTTCCATTTTAGCTCAAATACAATTTGAAGTGTAATGCTGTAGGTATTTCAGGCTCTGCTTTCTTAATTGTCATTCCTGTTGCTTTTTCTGTTGTCTGTCTTCTCTACAGCACTATTTTGAGCTAACTGTGTGCTTCAGCACATGGCAGAAGTATAGTTAGTGTAACTGTATGGATTCATGTAGCATTTAAATAATTTGGCAGATTCAGGAGGAGCAAAGTGTCTGAAGTTGCATGGAGATCAATGTAGTATGCTTATTTGCATATTTGCATAGTCTTTGATTCTTGACTGCTGTGGTCATTTGATTAATTTAATGGACTTAATGAACTAGTCAATATAACTTGACTCTGTATATAGAAATGTAATTAATGGAAGGCTTATAAAAAGTTACTCTGCTGCGAGAAAATACATGGTTTTTTTATATAGCTTCTATTTGTGTTGCTCAAGAGCACTTACTGTACTTAACTTGTGCAAAAACCATTTGTGTCTTACAGCTTGCCTTGAAGGGATCTAACTATGCTGGTCTGCTGGAACGGCATCGCATTCATACAAAAAATGTGGAGCATGTTGTAGACAGCTTACGGTAAGACTGTATGGATGCTGAGTATTTCAGACACAGTGCAAATATCCGTGGATTGTGTGAAACAAAAAAATGCTAATAAAGTAGGAGTACTGAAAAGAGAAGGGGTGCAGATGAACAGACATTCCTGAAAGGACCATCATGCGAACTAGCTCAGTTCAGTTGTCTAGCATGTTCTATTATCTTGAAAATAAATGAGAAAGCAGCACAGGATTTGTGTTTCAAGTGTTTTTAAGCCAAATATGATTGTAATTACTCCTTAGCTGCAGGACCACTTTTTGGGAGGCTGTGATAAGGAACAATACAGGACAGTATTCAGACTTTCTCTGAACTTTACAGGAACGAAAGGATAGAAGTTCGTCTTGTTAAGCGTCGAGAGTATAATGAAGAGACAGTTCGGTGGGCAGATGCTGTTATATCAGCAGGAGGTATGACTTTATGGAAGGGAATTATTTGTTTCAGTATGTTTTCATAGATATCATCTCAAAAATACTTTGCAGTTTTTGAAGCAACTGGAAATTCTGAAAACATATTGCTAGTCTAATTGTCAGAAAATCTGACAAAAAGCAGTTGTTATGACTATCTTGTCTACCTCTAGTCTCTTAAACTGTAGCTCATGGAAGTGAATCCCAGTGCATGGCTGCTAGAAAAGTTTTTCTTGTATGAAACAGTATAAACTGTGGAATTTACTGTAGTTTTCAACAAAAGAGGATAAAATGCTTGATGTCATGTAATTTTATGTGGCCCTAAGGCCTTCTTATTGGTTTTTGCAATGTGAGGTGTAGACTAACAAACTACCTCATGGTCCCCTTGCTCAAACTGTCTTTCTTGCTTTCACACTTAATCCAGTGACTGGCGTATCAAGTTGGATGGTACAGGTAAAAGTCTGCAGCTTCTGAGCATCTTGTGCCACTGATAAGTGTTTTCCAGATGAACCAACAGAGCAACTAACCTGATTGTTTATTTTTAATATTGGATTGCAGCAGTTCATTCCGTGTTTTTTTTTTTTGGGATATGCTACAAATACAGCGTTGTGTTGCTGGGCTCTGACATAGTGTTCACTCATCTGTGGCAAATAGGCTTGACCACAGCTTTTTCTCTTCCCACTAGTCCAGTTTGCCCTTAGGTACTGAGCACCATGAAGAATGGGTAGCAAGTTTTATTCCTGGAGCATCCTATCTATCTACACTCTAGATTTCAAATAATTTCCCTAAAGTGCCAATTTGTCTGTGGCAAGATTTTTCATGGTTGAGGCAAGCAGCTGGGAAGTGATACATCATCTGAAGTTTTCAGAGCTTATGTCTTCATGCTGTTCAGAGCTTATATCTTCGTGTAAAGACTGAATGAGGTTATAGTTTTCTTTCTGTTTAACAGACAGGAAAAAATACCAATATCTGGAGAAACCAGTACATTTAAAGTTTTCTACTTTGGAGATTTCTACTTACCTAAGACTTCTTTTCTAAGTGTGCCTATTTAGAGCCAAATAAGACCTTTAAATTGCCTTTTAGGAGGACAACTGAGGGGAAGCTAAAGTAATTGTTTTTATGTGGTTCACAGTAACATTTGGTTTTGTTTCCTGTCTTCTGTGGCTTTGTTTAGCAATACTTTCTAAATTTACTTTTGTTAAAGAATTTCTCTTACCTAGTGATAAACCTACAGAAATTTCCATAAATCTCTTTTAAAGCTTGCTTCTGCCACGTTCAGTTGCCTGGGCATGTATAGCTGATAAGTTGTACTTTTTCCAGTCACGTTTGCCATCTCAAATTCAATTGTCACTACTCTTATTTGAGAAGGTGTCAGTAGTTTTGTCCCATTGTTTTTTTGTCCAGCTTGCCTGATTTGTTGTTGATATAAAAGCACATAACACTAATGCTGGAGTACATTTGGGGTACTAGAATGTGAAGTGAAACTAACTTTTGATCTTTTTTTTTCTTTAGGTGATGGTACAATGTTGTTGGCAGCCAGTAAGGTCTTTGATAGATTTAAACCAGTCATCGGAATAAATACTGATCCTGAAAGGTAAAAACATATTTGGGAAGGCAATGCTTTATTTAATACTAGGCACACCATGCATCTGTTATCATGGTACATGAGGCATACCTGTAGCATTTGGCAGCATAAATGTCTGTTTTAGTAGGTTGTAGATGCTAATGGAATCTGTTGTTTTTTTAGAAAAGTTTCTGCAGGGACTTATCCTGTCTCATCTGAGAGGACATTAAGTAGTATTGGACAAGCATGACTGTGTTACACTGCCACAAATGTTCTCACACACCAGTGTAACAGCACTTACAGCTAGTTAACTTGTATTACAAACCAGAAGTTTGAAGCTAGAGATGGCAGTATAGAACTTCGGAAGAAGGACTTGGTAAAAGCAGCTAAGTGTGGTGCTTGAACACAAACAGACTTATTTTTTTTGTGAAGAAGGTGGATCCAGTAGAGCCTCAGATGAAGTTTGCCGTGGTTTCTTAATGTAAACCATGAGACACCTCAGAAAACTCAGTCTCCTGAGCCAATTGTTGGCACTTACTGTCCTATTATAAACTCTGCACAAGCTGCACCCACCTGCCGACATCAATCTTACAGCTCAGTGGATGCAGTGTGTTAGTACTTCTTGGTTGCTATAACCTTCAAATGGATGGCAAGTGAAACTCAGAATTCACCAAGGTTCTGCCTGCTGAGAAGTCCAGCTTTAGATTCTGCTTTTGATACTGACAGTTAATTTATTCCTAGTACATAAAGTGGTGGTCAAAAGGGTTAATTCCTTTAATACCTTTTCTTCCAAAACTTTTCAAATGCTCTGAGCAGCCATTCTGCATTATCAAGCCTGACTAGTAGGGTTCAAATAGCAAGTGCCTTCAAATTGCCACGTATTACTCATGGAAGGGAGCAGTGTTTATTCTTCTAGTTTTGACATGACATTCTTTTGATCTTAGCCATGTTGCTTACCTGTTCATGTTGCTAACTTGTGTGTAAGTGGAGAAAGCTTTTTTTCTCTTCTGCCAGGTTATTAAGCTTAAATTGCTTGCCTGAAGTGGTGGCAGGATTAGTGTTTGCATACACCTGCAGGATTACTAGCTGAACAGACAGTTTTTAGGGGAAATGTGGGAGAAATATCCCATCTCAGACACACAGACTCCAGGAGCTGAGAGCTGTGTGTTGCTGCTGATGTGGTACTGTGCAAGACTAGAAGGGATTGATAAAGGTATAAGAAATGTAGCTTGCTAGATGTAAAACATAGGGAGATTTTTTTTGTTTTATTTTCCAAAGGTACTGAATCAGAACAGTAATACTGTCATGTTCATTGTCATTTTTTGTTACCAGATCAGAAGGTCACCTGTGCTTGCCTGTGAGATACACACATTCATTTCCTGAAGCACTACAGAAGCTTTATCGTGGTGAGTTCAGGTAGGATTACTGATCTTTGGTTTTCAAAAACATAGAGGGATTGGAAAACACCTAATCATGTGCAATTCTTAAGGAGCAGATGAAGCTTAGTGAAATCTTAAGGTCTCAAGTTGTGAATTTTGTGTAGATGTTTATAATGTTGAAAAATTAGTTTGTGGTCAAGAGTGAGACTGGAATACAAATTATCAAATTGGCTGCCAGTTCCAGCAAAAAGTCTTCTGTTATGACCTGCAATCATTGATTTTCATTTCTGACTTAGCAAATCATAAATGAGGAACTGCATTCTTGTAAGGGGTATATTGGTAAATATATTTTAGGACTGTGTTGGTTTCGGGCAAATTTTGGAGGAAACATTTGAAGTGGTCTCCTCTAGAAAGCAAATTCAAGCTTCCCCTCCCCCAACTGGTTCAGGAGGTAAATCTTCAAGAAAAGTGGGACAAAACTGTTTACTTAACAAACAAAGTACTCACAAACATAACAAAAATGAATAATATTAAACAATGGAACCTCTCGTTGTTCTGAAGAGATGGCAAATTCAGAGAGTGCTTTTCATGGGGTGTAGCTCGGCTCACTCAGTCTTTTATCATTCCCTCCTGTGCTGGAAAGTGCCAGGTCCCATACCCTGGTGGCCCACAGGTGTGAGCTCCTGGGGTTTTTCTGGGTTTTCAGTCCAGAGCAAGGCTGATCACTTCCAGGAAAAGAAAAAGCCACAGTCTGGGGAACTTCTCTGCCTCAGCCAGCTAAAACCAAACGAAAAGCAAAGGAGAGCTCTGTCCTGCTGTCCGTGCTGCAGACACACAGTCAGTGAGGAGGAATTCGGGGAGCAAGTGCACTTCCTGCAGACAAACTGCACACTTCTTCTCCCCACTTTGCTCTCTGAACCAGTCTTAAAGGGGCAGGACTTAATATCCAGCATAAACAGAGCAGACAATTGGGGATACAAGCATCATAAAGGTCACCCCAGGAGAGGGACTCAAAAACATGTAGTACAGTGATGGCCGCAAGAATAGAAGCTGATGAAACACATACAGTTAGGAAATGATCACTGTGTTGCTTCTGGGGTTTTGGTGATTGAGATGAAGTGGCTTAAATTTTGTTAGCAGATTATTGTAAGGCAAAACAATTCTTCATGCTGGATATAGCTTGATGTTTTCAGTACTAGATATTCTTAAAATAGAATAATCTCATTTGATTTAAAAAGAAACAAGCTGAATTTTAAAGGCAAGACTAAGGAAGAGTTTTTAATAACTGCTTAACAACAGACATTGGTCTGTAGTATAATAACTTCCCTGAATATTTTTGTGATGACAAACCATCAAACATAAATCAGTCACTCATGTGAAAGTATATAGCAATTGATTTTTGTTTATACTTCTAGCATATTAAATTTTTAACTTGCAGTGTAACTGTATTTGTGCCATAGAAAAGTTCTGAAATTAAATGAATACAGTTGCTAAATAAGGAGTTTCAGTATGTATTGCTAAAGGAACAGATATTTTCAACTCACATATTCTAAGATTTAGAAAACAGAAGCTTTTTAGTCTCCATCATTCTAATTTGCTTAAGTAAAACTCATATATTTCAAAAAATATAAAAACTCATATATTTTAAGTAAAACTCACTTATTCATATAACCTCCCTTGACATTTGGCAATTTGGATGTTTCATTGGAAAAAGTTACATTTTTGTTGCTGACACTTCTGTTACTTCTCGTTATGGAGCTGAAACCTCACCAGAGCAAAACAGAAAGGATTTCTCCAATTATTCTTCTGAAATAATAGGAACTTTATTCTTAAGCAAGGATGTGAGCAGGTGTTTTGTTTGAAAGTTTTTAGATTTGTTTGGCCCTAAGCAAACTTTGGAATAGGTGGGTAAATGAATCCTTGTCTGGAAGGGCTTCTGTATCTTGGAGTAGTAGTGGATGGTGAGTTGCCAGAAACTGGAAAAGGATGATTGTTTTTTCTCCTTATTCCTGATGTATTAAGTCAGTGTAATAATCTGTGTTAACATGGACCTTGTAAATCATGAGACAACCAACATTATTGATTCATAAAGGACAAACTATATTAGATTACCCATGTTTTTTTATCTTGGTGGTCAGTGGTGTAGCTCACTCAGAATAGGGGTATTAATAAGGGTATAGTCCCGTTTTCTAATTTTGTAGCGGACATGATGTGTTCTAGCCTTGAGATGAGCATGATAGGATAGTGATACTCTACTATGCTTTCTGCATGACTACCTAAAATCATACTTGGAATTTAAGGGTAGGTAGGATGTGTAAATGAGGCACTATAAAGATAACAAGAGGAAAATCCAGCAATGTAGTAATATAAAGCATAAGTCTATTGTAATTTTAGAAAAACTAGTTACCGTCACCTGGATATCAACAGTATGAACAGAGAAAAGATAACACTCATAACATTCTCTTGTGATTTGCTTTCTTAGTCAAAACTATTGCTATTTTATTTTATGAAATATCTTAGGTTATAAGAGGAAAGGGAAAAATAAAATCTCTAGGGACAAATAAAAAAATCTGAATGTTGTAACATGGCTTTCATATCCTTCTCTTGCTTCATATGAATTCCTTTAAAGCATCCTAAATTCATAGGCCTGAAGGGATTGTTAAAATAAGGGGGCCCCTTATTTTAACCAAAAACTTGGTTAAATATCCCCAAATACCTTGGGCCCTTATATATAAAATGGTGCATAGAGCTGCTTTTCTGGACATGTGCAAATACAAACAAAAGATGTTAAAAATACAACATGTATTTCTGTATAAATTCTTGAGTGCTCTTCATTCTCAAAAGCATTGTATCAGTCATTCATTCACATATTAGATTGACATGCCTAAAAAGGAGAGTTTGTTACATACAATTTTGTAGACTACTTTTGACCAGTGTCCTCTTACTTTATACGTGAAAAAAACATTAACTACCAAATGGGTAAATGTAAAGAATTTACAATTAAGTATTATTAACTTTCTAAATTTAGAAGTAATAGTGGAAGTTATAAAACTTAAAATATGACCTTGAATGTATTTAGCTCCTAATCTTAAGATGTTCTGCTTTGAGAGTGGAGGCTCTCAGACACTATCTGATTTTGTAATGAATACTTCATACTGACTTCTTCCTTCTATCTTAGGTGGCAGTGGCGGCAAAGAATCCGACTATATCTTGAAGGAACTGGGATTAACACAACCCCTGTGGATTTACATGAACAGCAGCTAAGCCAAGAGCAACACAGCAGGGCTCACATAAATGAAAGATTCCAGGACCAAAGTAGGTTAAAATCTGACAAGAATATAATCACTTTGCTATGATAACTTGGAATAGAAGATAAGGATTGGTGAAAGTTTCAGTATTTTAAATAGCCCCTGTCAAAAAATGTGAGCTTTTTTATAATGCTGTCTCTTAAAGTTACTTTAACTACTTGAGCATGTGTGTCTGTTTGTATACACATGCTAACTTCTAAGTGAGGTTAATTGAGAGTTGTGAAATCTGGGCTTGGATATCAGCAAGTAAGACATTAGAAGTGAGAATCTGTCTGTAGATAATTCTTGAACACTTTCAGCTTTTTTCTTTATGATGGTTTGCAAGGGTTCTGTGCCTAACCTTTGTCCAGTACTGAATTTGCTCACTAAGAAGTCCTTGTCAATGTGAACAATTTGTTAATCCTCTTTAATTGCCTTGTGGTATGAAGTCTAATTTCATGAGAAATGTCTGTTAAATCACTGCCAGTGAATTTAACTTGGCTGGAAGAGTGACTGACAGAAGAGAAGACTTTGCTCTGCCAGGTTGCCTGTGACTTTTCAGGGAAAAGTGTCTGAACTTAAGTGTCATTGCTGACCTTGGTTTAAATATTTATTGTCTCCAGTAAAGGACAGTTAACTGGCCACAGAGTAAATCCATGAAAAAATTAGTCTTTGAAGAAAATGGAGCTTTAGGTTTAGAAAACAAACCCAGGCAGCAGAATCTTTCCTCCAGTGAACTGTGAATGGTTTTTGAAAACTTGTTTTAAATCCATGACTCAAAACTTTATATTTTATTTCTGCAGGGTCTGATATTTCTGGTCCACATCTTTTACCAGTGAGAGCACTCAATGAAGTCTTCATTGGGGAATCTCTTTCATCCAGGTATGTTTGATTGTTTTTACAGCAAGGTACAATTGACTCAGTTTCTTTCTATGACTTGCAATGGACAATCAGTGATGAGATCTGACTGTCAAATTTCAGTTCTAGTCTTGAATCTTCTTTGCTGATTACAAAGTGTATTTTAAAATATCTAAGTTTGTTAGATATTGCAGTAATGTTACTTTCTGGTTTTCTGCCTCCTCTTTAGTTGTTCTTTCAATTTTCCTGGTTTTTTTCTTTCCCTTTTACTGATGATTTAAATATCTGTCCTTAAACTGCCTCCTTTCCTACATATCTTCTTAAATATCTTTTCATAAGCTTTTAGCATGACCAAGCAGAAATAGCTTTTATCATGATTCTTTTTTCTGCCTTTCTGTCATTAGATGCAAAGGTATCAGCCTGCTTTTGGCAGAAACTCTGTTATTTATGGAATTAATAATAATTACTGGAATTTTTTGTTTAAGAGGCATGTTTGTATGAAAAAAGCCTTATCCAGGATACCTTTCTGTCCTGAAGATCAGTGCATTTTTGGCAGCCAAACAATAAGAAGGACACTGGGAATATGACTGGGGGCTGCAGCAAAAGAGATGATCCTTAGTCAGGATTTGACCAAACTTTTACTTGTATTTTATATCTGTTTTCACTTTATTGTTTATCTTAAAAAATACCAAAAACAACAACAGAAAAGCCACTTTAGAGTTTAACAGCTTGTGTTTGTACAGTGCCTGGGACACTGATTGCTGGTGCAAACTGCATAAAAGTTCTGTGAGTGCTTTAATTTTTGTCTGGACTTCATCCTCAGACTGGCAGAAGGAATTAATCTCAAAGAGATACAAATCCTGCTTTTTACCTAAATGAAACTTAATTTTATCAAGATTCTAAGAACTTTCTTTAATACGCAGTGCTAGAGAAACACAAAGCTGTTTTCCAATGCTCTGAGTGTCACAAGTACATTGCACTCTTGGTTCCAGTGTATTTGAGAAACACTGAGGAACACAGTACCTCTAGAAACAAACCTCTAGAAACAAGTATGGTGTTAATAGGACCTTATACTTGAAGACTTAAATGTCATAAAGATGAATTTTCTGTTAGTTTCAAATACACAGCTCTGCTGTTTAATTAGACAAAATGACTTTAGTCAGTGATGAAAAAAAGTAAATTGAAGGGAAAAAAAACCCAGAAAACCTGTCATACCCAGCTTGTAAAAATTACATTAAACTGAATCGAGCTGTGCACCTGTGTTCTTAATTTACTTCCTGTTTTCTAATCTCACCATCTTCTGATTACACAACATGCCCTTAGTTACTGAAAGTATAAACTGTTTGACACCAAACAGCCAAGAGCTGTGTTTCTAGTGGATCCAGACTGAAATAATAGCTCAGTAAGTTCTGTTTACTAAGAAAGGTGAAACTCAGTCATGCATAAAAACAGTGAATATGGTATTTCTGAGAGGATATCTATTAATCTGAAGCCTGTATCACACTATTTGAATTAGGCACTAAAAATATCAACAAGTTTAAGTTCATAAATATACTCTTAGATATTCTGAAGCTTGTAGAGAGAAATGTTGGTCTCTAGGCCTAACCCTAGGAATGCCCTGACAGTTGAACAGTAGCATGCAGGAGATAATTGTACATCAAGACCTGGAACTTTTGAATTTTAGGAATAATGTGCCCTGGAGAGAAATGTAAGCTTGCTGGTTGTTGAAAGCTATTCATGAAGAAGCACTTGATTTTTAATTACTGAAGTGATCAAGGATTCAGGTTCAATCATGCTGTTACTTACTGATGTTGAATTGTTTAGTGTTCCTTGACATAATTTAATGAGACACAATCTTAGCATAAACACGGGTTTTGTGCAGCAGGTAGGTAATTATTTATAGCTTTATTTGTAGGTCCAGCAAGCTCTGCAGATGTACCACAGAGGTGGTTTTTTGCATAAATTAACATGAGAAATGACTGCAAAAAAAGTGCCTAAATGTTCATGCTACAAATCGTTTTAGTCCATTATAAAAATTGCTATAAAATAGTGAATCAGAAGTAGCTGTCAAATGGGAAACACTGTACAAAGCCTGTGAAATTGTGATCCAGATTTGAAAGTAGCCCCTCTAAATTGTTATGTGCCTGATAAGGCTGTGTGTTCTGTCTTATTCAGGGAGAACTTTAAGTCCTGCAAACCCAGTTTTAAATTCTCGCTTCATAGGGCCTCCTATTATGAAATATCAGTTGATGATGGTCCTTGGGAGAAACAGAAGAGTTCAGGGCTTAATGTGTGTACTGGAACAGGATCAAAAGCATGGTGAGTATATGTTGCTGTTTTGACAGAAAATACCATTTCAGATAAGTTAGATGAACCTATTTGGCCTATGCATTTTGTCCTCACTGAAACTCTGTTGGGCCATGGGTAAGTCAGTCTAATAATTAATATTATCACTGTCAGTATGGCTCAGAACTGTTCCAGGTGTATGAGAAGAGCAGGGCACTCATTACTTGTGGGTGTGGAGAAAAGCCTTGAAAGGGTGAGGAGCTGTGGCACTGAGACAGAAGTTTGCCTTAGGTGTAATTTCAGTGAAAGATATGGCATGCCACACTTGAAGATGAGTGGTGAGGGAAAGAGATTCTGCTGTGACTTGCAGAGAGCATATGGAGGTGATCTATGAACTATTCCTGTTGGCTAAAATTAAAACACTTAGATGATGTAGCCCAGTAAACTCATAAAACTCTAAGCTCTAAAGAAGAATGGGAAAGCATGTATTTGGAAGCAGTGTTAAATGTTCTCTGGCACATCTACTGTCCCCATTCACCTTTCAAGCCTCTTGTTTCTTTCATATTTAATAGACATAGGACAATCTTTCTCAAAATATTCCCCTTAAACAAAAGATAGCTATATCCACACAGAACTGTGCTAGCTTAATCAGAGGGATAAATAATTTAAACTTCAGTTTAAACATGCTGCAGTACTGCATGTAACTCTGTTCACTTTAGTTTTGAGATGTGAGAGAGGTGTTTGCGCTTGTAATTTAAAGTTGTACAATAGGCATTGGATTTATGAGGCAGGCTAAACTGAACTAAAACAGAAGCTTTTAATGAAATTCAAAAATGAGTATTCATGCTGTAACCATGGTTACTGGGTTTTGCTCTTCATTGTAATTCAGAATTTTGTATTCAGGCAGCATAGCTTAGTCTTGGGGCCTGCCAAGGATGAAATTGGCAGACTGCTGGGGAAACTTTCCTAGTGTTCAGTACCTTGGGAAAGTACAGTCTTAATTCAGTGCTGTTGTTACGCATTTCATTTGCTTATACACTCTTTGCTGAGCAAATCCAGAATCCGGGACCAAGCTCCAGGATTGCCCTTCTCCATTGCTGTAATTAGTATGTGTTGCTGGACTTCTCTAAACTGAGGCCAAGCCTCAGTGATCTCCCTTAGCCTGTTGTCTAGGGGCTCTCCTGGATTTAAATGCCCAGGTGCTTTTTGCATGTGCTAAAACTTGTGTAAAAGGATATCTTGATAGAATCTGCTCAGGCTTGCATGTGGGCAGTAAGAAAGCAAGACTTGGACAGCCACACTCAGCAGTGCTGTGGTCAGATAGGGGTGTAATGGGTCTGTGTTACAGTCTGAGGCATTTTACTGCCATGACAAAAGTGCTGGATTGTGGATTTTAAGCTGTATTGAGATCTTCACAGTACTGCTCCACAGTGGCTGTGGTTAGCACCTACTCCCTTTCTGGGAGTCTGGGCAGACAAGGGAGACTTTTTTTTGAGTTTTGACTTAGTACAGATTGAGGCTGTGTTGACTTGTTCATCCAGATGTGTCAAATGCAGAAGCATCTGGTCTGTTTCTTTTCTATATATACCAGTTCTTGGGAGATTCAAGGCCACACCTTAGGGTATAAATAAAGAGGTAAAATATTTGTGAAGAAGTGTTTGTTTCATAAGTGAGAACTAAGAGAATAAATCAATTAGCAAGCAATAGACAGGGTAAGAACACAATCTCTAGAACTGTCGTGCTTCATTTTTTTAATGCAGATTTAATTCAGCAGTTATTGGGGTTTTAAGGCAGGGGGATTATTGACAAGAGGACTACATCCCATGCTCTTCCTTCCTGCAGACTTCACTTATGGATTTTTAAGCTTTACAAGGCCACAGGTAGATGCCAAAACAAGAGTTGATTTAAGACTTTTTTTAAATAAACTCTTATCAGCTCACATTTAATAGCATTGCTTTTCCTCCCCAAATGTTGAACTTATTTTTTCATCAGTGTGCAAGATTTTTTGGTTTGGCTCTGTTTTTGTCCTAAGTTGTACTGCTTAGCAAACAAGACTTCTTCTCTGTCTAGGTCCTATAATATTAACAAGGTAGCACATCAAGCTATTGAGGAGATCCTTAAGACTGGTGAGTGAACAGTGTGTCCTTACTATCCAAGTGTATATAAAGATACATCTATATAACTGGGCTCTTTCTCTTGGCTCAACAGCAAAAAAGCATGGAAATTTGAATATGCCATTGAACACGGAACTGGTACAGAAAGGTTAGTGAAAAAGGCAAGATACTTTTTAAAGTGTCTTTGGCGAGTTCATTTTGTTTGCATTCTCTACCACTCAGCTTTCAGTGTTTTAGCGCTCTCACAGTAATAGTCTTTCTTACAGACATTAATTAGGCACAGTTGGCAAACAAATGTCTTACTTGAAATTAAACCACTTACTTAGATTTCTGCATATCCTCTTCAGGAGGAAATTCAGGAGAATTTCAGTTCTCCTAAAATTTGAAACAGTTAATATTTAATCACCAGAAGAGAGTTACTGAGTGTTCATCATGCAGTAAAACTGAAAGGAATCTTCCTTATAAGTAATTTTTTTCTTTGCGTGTAAAGAGTGTTGGACATCTGTCAAGACTTGATATTCACTCTTGGTAGACAAGCCACTCTTCCCTGGAGGAATGTGTGTTTCTGAGAGTAACTCATTTTCTCTGGAAAAATTAATGGCTGACTCCTCTGCTTACAGTAACAAATGATTACAATGAGTCTCTGCTCTACAGTCCAGAGGAACCAAAGATGTTTTTCAGTGTACGAGAGCCTATTGTAAACAGAGTTTTCTCAAGTAGCCGTCAGCGTGGCTTCTCTTCAAAGTAAGTGTTGGCTGCAATAGCAAAGAGTTACTTAATTCTGTGTATCTGTCAAAGTATGAGCAATCCAGGATTTTCCCTTGAAGTGTTTCAACATCCAGTTTGTGCTTTGAATGACTTGAGTATTGTTCTTGTAACAGCAGGAGGAAAATGTTTCCTAGTTGTGTTATGGCTTTTTAATGTTTGATCCCTGCACAGTCTTACAGAATAAAGGAATCTCACTGTGCCCAGTTTTGGTTATGTGCCATTTCCTTCAGTATGAGACACAGGCATTGACAAAGTGGAATGAATTCAGAAAAGGGCCACTGGGAGGCTAAGGGGGCCGGAACAAGTGGTTTATAAAGGAAAGACCCAAACAGTGCTTTCCTTTAGCCTGGAGGAGACAAGACTAAGGGGGAATCCAGTTGCTGTCTTCAGCTGCCAAAGGATGGTTACAGAGGAGACTCGAGTTAAGCTCTTTTCAGAGCAGAGTATAATGCAATAGCCACGATTTTATAGGATGTAAGATTCTGATTTTAAAAAGAAAAAAAAAATTCACTTTGAGAATAGTCAGGCAGTCAACCAGGTTGTCTCTCTAGATTGTCTTATCCCTGTTCTTGGAGATACTCAAAACTTGCCTGGGCAAGGCGGCCTTAAGCATCCTAACCCATCTTTAAAGTAAGGCATGCTTTGAGCAGAAGGTTGGACTGAATGCATTTCCAAACTGAGTAATTTTCTAATTCATCATTTTAACTTAGGGCACTTGTGCCAGTGGAGGTTTAGAGTAAATATTAGGAAAATTTCTTCATGGAAAGGGTTGAAAAGCAGTGGAACAAGCTGCCCATGGAGGTGGTGGAATCATCATCCCTGAAGGTATTTAAAAGACATGTAGGCATGACACTTACAGACATAGGTGGTGGGTTTGTTTAATGGCTGAACTAAATGATCTTGCATATCTTTCCCAATCTAAATGATTTTATGATATGTGGAGCTTGCCACAATTCAATATAAACATGTACAGCCATTAGTTATATGATCACACTAACTGAACAAACACATAATAACACAGAAACTATTGAAAGCAATACTGTATTTCAATTGTAATTAAATGTAAATTCAACGTTTTATATCAAAACAAATGTCTGAAGGAGCTCTGAGCCAAATTCTTTATTCTGTCTTGTCCAGCTCTAAAAGAGATGCCTTGAATTTTAAAAGATTATATTTAAACTTATTAACTTAAATATGGTATAGTCAGACTCCAATATTGAAAATAATATGCTGCAGTTCTTGAAGTTGCCTGGCAAGCATCCTGACCTTCAGTTTTGTGTTTGTAATAACTTTTCCTCTCTCTAAATGATTAATGTAACAAAATAGATTACATTAATGTCCAAATTATTTGAATCTCAAGTGTTGGTATTTAAAAATATGTATTTCACATAACATAAAGACCGCATATTAGAATCTTAAATTAATTTTAAACTTTCTGTGAAGACTAAGTAATTCACAGTTAAATGGGATCATCAGTAGCTTTATTTGAAAATGACACCTAAGCTTCAGCTTCCAACACCAAGTGTTATATTACAGGCTTGGTGTTGAAACCCCTCCAGCCTCTGGGAGCAATCGGCTCCGTTGACCAAGTCCTTCAGTCCTCTCTGGACTCTTTGCTAAGTCCATACCAAGGACATACACTGATAACTTGGGGGGCTCTGGTGCTTAGTAGAGGTTAAGCATTTAAGCATTAATTAAGTGGAGGTTAAGCATTTACTGGCCCAAGCAAAAGAATGTCCCAGAACCAGTTTTATTGTTAAGTGCTTGTGTGAAATACTTAAATTTTTAAGCTATTTTGTGATAACTTACCTGTTGGGTTTTTGCAGAGTCTGTGTCCGTTCCCGTTGTTGGGATGCTTGTATGGTTGTAGATGGAGGAACATCTTTTGAGTTCAATGATGGGGCAATAGCTTCAATATTGATTGACACAGAGGATTCACTGTGCACTGTTCTGCTGGAAGAATGAAGGACGCTGATGTCTTTTGCTGAAACATTTATGGATCCATAGAGGGAAACCATGGGGATATCACAATGCTGCATTATATTGGAAGTTGGCCTTTTTGGATGCAAGAGCATTTGGGGGAAGCTTGAAATGCTTTTCATTCCTTTGGGTTGGGGAATCATTAGCCTGATATTTAAACTCTTCTTGCATCTAGTGTAAAATATGTCTGGAGTGTTACCTCTAACTTCAGTGAAAATTCAATTTTAACCTGTAAGGCAAACATGAAAGCTTTGTAAACACAGGTAAATGGGTTCAATTATTAAGTCAGTAGCATTAAATATTCAGATGTACAGTTTTTTAGTAACAGTCTGGGACTGATGAAACTTAATACTTCATACATACATTTTTGTAGAAAAGTTGACTGTCAAACTAGCAATTTGATGCAAGGATATATAGATTTTGGTAAACCATGATGTTGATGTAAAAGAAATGAAAATACAGATCTTTTGTATGCTTTTCAAAAATTATACAACTTTGTAGTTTCATACAACTTGTGGCATTTTTTTTTGTTCTTCCAGTATTTTTTCTACTTTGTAGACTTATACTCTTAACGTAAGTCTGGTTTAATACATCTTGAATGAGGTAGCTTTTACTTTTTCTGTTTGGCTAGATAGGGAAACCCAAATGTTTTCTTGAGCCCTTCATCAGGAATATATAGATTACAGAAATCATGTTGAAGTCGGATATATTCCTTCACTGAATGGATTAACTTCCAAGCAGATGATTAGAGACACTAGTGTATGTAAGTGGCTATCATTAAGAAATATATTTGGCCTTACCAAGTTGAATAGTTTGGAATTTGAGGTTTTGAATTTCCTCTATTTAAAGAATAAGATATGCTGGGTACTAGGAGTTGGAGCACAAGCTAATAACTATGTCTTCCATTTTTCCCAGCATGTTTTTACCTTCTCCAGAAAATTTAAATTTCCAATCCTATGCTGAATTCTAGTGATGTGTTAATGACAAAAAGTTAATTTCATATGTCTCTGCTCATGTTAGGTAATCAAGTTGAAAATGGAAAGAAAAAAAAGCTCTGATTAAAGAAGAGCAAGTGACCTTTTAAATCTTTCAGAGAAACTGTGAACTGTGATTGCCTTTTGAAATCTGTGCTTGTAATTGCATAGGTGAGGCAGAATTTGACAAAAAGTATTCCTACAGCAGGAACTCTTCTGCTACATGACTTGAAAATAGTATGTTTTGTCTACTACAGACTGGTTTCCAAGAGTGAGTTTTCTTCTTTTGAATGAAGAGACTTCTGTAACAGATGTTCTCAGGTTTAATGGAAATGTTCTCCATCGTGGCCAATCAGTGTATTTATCGCCACTTGCAAATGTAAACAGCTCTTTATTGGTGGAGGAAATGGACAAATGGCTTTTTCCTTCTAGCCATAGAGTAAATAGAACTTAAAACATAATTTAGAGGATATTGATTTGACCAGACCATTCAGTTCTAGGAAAATGTAAAATTGATGGAGATGTCTGAATAAGCTATCACTGTGTACATTTCCCCTTCTAAGTGTGCTGCAGATACTTACACTGTCTGGTTGTTATGATTGTAGACCCAGAGGGGAAAATCAAAGTAGGTAAATAAGCTTTCAAAAGTTGGCAAGTTCAGGAACTATCAGAATAAAGCTCTTACTCTCTAAAATAATGTGCAAAGTTTGTCTAGAGGTAAAGACAAAAGATTAATCTTTCTAAAATCTGTGTGCACACAGACTAGGGTGTTCTAGTTATTCTCAATCCATCTGTAACCAGTTAGGGATTGTTTATTATGTGCCTCTGTCAAGTACACTTGTCAATATGCTGTTAGCGTTCAAAAAATCCCCAAGCCCACCAATGCCATTAACTTTATTTTGCCATTTTTGGCAAAGAAATAATAAATGGCATTATTTTAAATAATGTCATTTATTACTTCCTAGGACTCTACCACTCTTAGATCAGATTTACATATTGAACATGTGCACAGCAAATCTATGAAATCCTATTCCCTGCTTGTTTAGACATATGTGTGCTGTAATGTTTTAATGGAGAATGGTTAGTCTGATCTGTAAGCTTACCTCTTAAACATGCCTATCATTCCTTATTATGAACATCAAGACTAAAAAGCAATGTTTTCAGGCCCTACAGCCCCAAAGTATGATCTAGATTAGGACTTAGTAAATTTTCAAATTCCTGATTTAGCAAAATGGAAGATTGACCTACTCATGAGTGGCCTCTACTGGTTTTGTCTGTCTTTAATTGCAGTTCTGTTGAAGCATTTTACTGGTGAATGCTTAAATTGACTAGGATGATTCAGAAATCGATAGTTAATAGTAAGAAGCTACCTTTTTTTTTTTTAATTAAAAAACTATAGGACCCTTTTTAAGGATTGTTTATGATGAAGGATTGCAGTACAGACAATTTACTTAGTAGACAATGTTCCAGGACAGGACTGAGTCTTGGTTTAACACTGATTTAATCTGTGTGGACTGGCAGTGATTTTTGCAACCCCTTCTAGCTGCTGAGTCAAGTCCATGGTATTTTCACTTCGTGCTAGTCTACACTGTGTTCTAGACCTAAACTAGACTTGTTTTTCTTATGCTTATTTTTTTTTCCAAGTGGTGTTTATACATTATGTAATAAAAATTAAAAGCTTAATTGATAAATTAAACTGTCCTGTGTTTATTTCAACCTTCAGAAGTGTTCTATGTGCTCAGTTCCTTCTCACTTACTGTTTCAGGTTGTTTTAATGGTTTGTGAACCTTCATGCATTTACATGTAGTACGGAGACTAATCAATCTATCAGGTTTTATTATGGAGTGCACACAAGAGATGTTGCATGGAGTTATAGTGTGCATTAGGAGAAAAATTTACAGTAATGCTGTACTGCACAGATTTACTTTTTCTTCCTGAAGTAATTTAAAGTATAATTCTAAGGCAGCAAACTGAGGCAGTAAAATATTCTGTATCCTCCAACCCCCTATCATTCCTCCAACTTCCACAGGGTATGTTGCCCATTAACTCCTTTGTAGGGATACAAGCCCATTATTAACATCTGTTACTTACAGTGTTAAATTAACAAAAACCAAACCGACTTAGATTGCAAGATAATGCTTTATTTACTATATTCTAGAAAGTCAAGTTAAATATCAAATTCTAGTACTCATACAACCTTTCCACATTAATTAATATGTTCTGCACTACCAGGTATTCATTCCTGAATGCTTTTCCTCAAGACTGCAGTGGGAAAAGTTGTATCTATGCAAAGGCCTACAGTAATACATCGGCTACTCTTAAAAACATCCATGGATAAATTCAGCTGCTTGCTTACTGCATTCATGAGAAAAACAGCAGCATGTTTATGTCCTACAGAGGCTCCAAGTTTTGCCTTAGGAATTATCAGCTAAAAATCCTGCTGGAACATTCTAGGCTTATGCATGAGGACTCTGGTAACAGATGCAAATGAAAGGTTCATTTAAAGTCATTACCTGTCCCTATACTTTATTTTTTTTTTCTTTGGGGACAGTTACTCAATTTCTCCTATGACTTTAAAAAAAAAAATCAACTCTAGACAATAGTGGTTAGTGATACAAATACATGAAGTGCTACTACAAGCAAACTAATATAAAAGAGAAATTTGTCTCTTGATAGCACCAAAGCATCTCTCCCTTTTAGCATTCTTACAGAGTAGTCCCAGGTTTTTGTTTTTGGTCATATCTAGAACCCTTTGAGCCCTCCTCCTTCTACCAGTTTATCAGTTGCATTGAAAGATCTTGGAGAAAGTTTTATCTGCAATCAGGCTCACAGAAGCTACATGAAGTTTCTGTAATATGTAATCAGAAAACCTAGGACCACAACATGAAATAATGGATAACCAGCATCTATTTTTACAGATGCTAATTCTGAACTGGCTTTTCACACTGTGGCTAAAAATGAAGGCTACTAAAGGCCAAAGTTTCCTTTCTGGCCTCCTAAACAAAAACTTCACTATAGCTCCTTTATGCTGCATAACTTGTAAGGTATTGAGCTGTTTCTTAGCTGCTTCTGTGTAAATATCCCCAATTTACTGTTTTCAAGTTTGAGTCATTCATCCTACTGTACCTTTTCTTCAGTTGAATATATTTAGTATGTATTCATTCTGAATTCTTCAAATTCCTTAATAAACCTTATAAAGATGTTTTTGGCACCTCTGCAAGCTGTTCCAGAAGCTGCAGACAGTTGCTAGAGGCTGACATTATTTAATTATGGTGATTTGTTTCATAATATTTTTTTCAAAGATCCCCTGTAAAAAATAAAGACTGAAAGAAATATTCCATAATTTCTCACAGATCATCAAATTACTAAAGGTTTTAAGTACAAAAAACTGATACAAAATATTATGAAACAATATTAGCGTGTAAGACCAAGTTAGACAGTACTATGATAAAAGGTGCTCCAGCACTTTTTTCCCTAAGGAGCTTCAATGCACAGTATGTCCATGGCATCCAGTGCATTGTACATGATCACAAGAAACTAGGATTTCTCAGTGTCAATCTGCATTTGATGCCCCAAATCTCATGGCTCTTTTTATTGCCAACAGTTGGCCTTGCAATGCTGGTAAAGTGTGAACCATTGATCTTCATGTCAGGCAGTGCTTCCTCGAGGAGCTGCAGGGAGCTATCAGTCACTATTCCAAATACCTGAAGAGTCTTCAGTGTTCGAATTTCACCAAGCTCTCTAGAAAGAGAAAAATATGAAATTAATCATTAAACTGAAAACATTTTTTGGGGTTTTTCAGTCTGTACACAAGCTATATAACTCCATTTCTACTAATTTTTTAGAAGAGGTAAACTACTTAAGCACATATATAATTGAAACTAGTACTCAGCACTGATACTTCAGGAAACTGTCTGAATAAATTACTTCTTTGCTAATCTCTCTCACAGACTGAAAACAAACTGATTCTTCCCCTTTCATATCCTTGGACTTAAAAATCTAGAACAAGTGAAGGAAATTGCCCAGATGAAGTTCCAGGATGTGGCTCAGAGGACACAAACCCCTGAGTACTATCAATCAGTCTCCAATTTGTAGAAATATTTTGTTGAGTAGCCAGACCCAGCTTCTTGATTGCTTTACATTTTTTTCCCAGTCATCATCTGAACTGTGTATCTTATAAGCAAGTACTGGACAGAATCAAAAGGCTGAGGCATGTGCTACCACAGCAAAGGTTCATCAGATGCCCATTTTCATTAGTCCTGTTCCTCTCAACCTTTTTTTCTTGTTGGCCATTTCCTTTCTGTTGACATCTTTCTTGAAAGTATTGGGATTGAAAGCCTCTATACTAATAAAAGGCAGAATGACCTCATGAACAAGTCACTCTAAGCCATGTTTCAGTCACTATCAATAAATGATAAAAGGTGCACACAAAAGTAAATATACAGAGCTTACTAGTCCAGCCAGTACTATCAACTCTGCCAACTTTTACAAACCTTAGTGCACACTTAGAAGTCTGGCACTGACATCAGTTCTGGTCACTGGCAGGACTGCAACCTCCCAGACCAGCAATGAGAACCACTGGTATAATGCCATTAACAGAAGATATGAGGCACACAGAGCAGCCAGTTCCATAAGTACAGACTGACACCATTGAAAGCCTTTCTCAGCTTTGGTTCCAGTCTCAATTCTTCAAAGGGTACAGGTTCTAGCAGTAGGTTATTTTATTTTATTAGTTATATAGTAGGTTATATTATTTTATTATTTTATAGTTAGTTTTATTCCCAATTCCTCATACCATTAAGGTTTTTGAAACGGTATTTGCAGTTTTAACCTAAAATAAAGCAAATTTAAATTAACTTACCCTCTGCATGAACAGCAAATCAAAGCACATTAGAGGTTACTTACACTAAGGCAGCAGGTGATATCTGATAACAACGGCTAAGGCACAGGTGTTGTAGGAATGCAAGTTGTTTAAAATACTGGAAGCACTCAGGCTTTAACATCATGCTGTCACTGTAAAGAGAACACATTAAATAAAGGTTTAAGTATACAGCAGCAGTAAACTTGCTATTTTGAAAATTCAAGCAGAGGAATTTATTGAATATCTATTTGCTACCACCAAGTATGTTTTCACTGACTTTGGAAGCAACCCATCTCTCACGTGTATGTGCTGGGCACGTGAAGGGGCAAGTGAGGCAGAAGTTTCTCGTGACACAGATACTCTGCAGCAGAATTTGAACAGGCAAGTTCTTCAGAGCTTTTAAAATAACTGACTAGGTCAAACCCAAAATACACCATTTTTTACAGTCACGTGGCCAAGTAACAAATTTGTATTAGAGATGACTTAAACCTGCTCTAGCATGCTAGGCTAATGAACTGTAGGCATCTAAACACTTCCTTCCATTCTACCTATTAATTACCATCTCTCATTAGTTAACAAATCCTGCAGGTATCTGACATTTATGCTGAGGTAACAGACACCTTCAATTATATACCTGCTCCAGATTAGATCACGCCAGATAGCAAATCTTTTGTAGGGTTAGCTTGCATAGTATTTTCTGGATGTGCACTGCTACAAAACCTTGCCTCAGTGCTAACTGCCTGAACCACAAGGATTTAAGGACTGGCTGCACAGGTCTTCTTACCTGAGATCTAAATGGACAAGCAAAGGACATCTCCCCACGAGTGTTTTCACATCTGAAAGAGGTCACACAGAGTCAGTTCCTCTTTCAGTAACAAGATGGACATGCTTTTCACAGCCTACTCACGTCCACACATGTTCATTTATATCTTTTATACTGGAACCCCACAACTCAAGCACAATTTTTAAACTGAAAAATGTATCCTTAAGACTTACAGCATACAGTCTGCATATGAAGATACCCTACATGGACTTCTTTTATTACGCTCAGCAAAACAGATAAATTTAGTTCAGCAAATGATCCCTAGAAATCAATTGCATCAACCATCAATTTAGGAATACAGTAATTCAAATGATATTTCTGTGAAATCTACTGAGACAGTAATGGTGAGCTGCCTGAAATACTTAACACACAGTGAAAAAGTAACAAAAATTTTCAATGCATCAAATATCCTTTCAGAGTACCAAATCCTTTAGGCATCTCCATTCTTATCCACAAAAAGTTCTTTCCTTATGACAAAGAGTTACATTTTTTCTGATTTAAACTGAATTTTTTACCTTCTTTTCATGGTCTGCAAGTAGCACTGAATCACCTGTGGTTCAGATAACCACCTAAAAGCCATTGCAAGGTGCTCAACAACATGCAAAATAATTTTGGTATTTCAGAATTCATGTGCAGAAACTAAAAAAAAGCAATACCTTAATTATGATGATTATTGTACTGTTCAAGTTTTATGCCTGATAAATTCCATTGAAACAGAGTAAAGTCACTCAGAAAAAGTGACAAATAGAAGAGGTCAGCACACAGTCTCTAATGGCTCAATCAGAGGGCCCAAGGTTCAAATTCCTGATGTGGAGAAGATTATGTAGCGTATTTGTCTATGGGTTTGGGGCTGAGATAAGAAGATTTGCCTATTTCCCCACAAAGGGAATGCACCAAGTGGTCTGTGTGATATTTAAACAGAAATGAGAGGTCACCCCCTGCATGTCATCCGATGCCCTATTGTCATATTCACTCATTGCGAAAATTAAATTCTCTTCACCACAAAAGGACTTTCACCCTTTAGCTCTTGTTCGCTCTGATGCACTCTCCCCCAAATCTTGACTTTCCTGCATTTTCTATACCTTCCAACTTAATAAAACTTTTCTTCCTACAACTATTAGCAAGTAAATGGTTAAATGTTGATTACTGAGATTATCTTCCAAATTAACTGGTATCCGGATGTCAGTCTGAAACTGAAGCACCAACTGACTGTTCTCTTTTAGAAGATGCTTTCAGCAGACACAACAGCAGAAGCCTTAAGAAAGCCTTCCAGATATTGTTCCTGGAGCTAATTCATAGCATACAAAGTCCTGCTTCCAGGACTTACTTCACAAGTAAAGGCTGCTTCTTTCACTGAAGAAGAAATGAGTTTTCACTTGACTGTTCCTAAATTCAGAAGAAAAATCATCTCAGCCTTCATGCCTGAGCCAGAAATATGAGTAAGAGTCTCTGGCAGCAAGAACTTCAAACTATCCAGAGCACAAAAGTTACTGTTAGTACATGATTCTCCTATACAAAGAGTGAATGCCAACCAGAAGAAAATGTAAAGCCTGCTGCTTCATCCCACAGTGGGATAAAGGTTTGTCACACTGCTGTTTACCTGCTATTTGTAGATTCTCTCTGTATCCACTTAAATTTAACTGGGTGACCTTTGAAGTAACATGATTGACTGCTGCTTTGACATGAGTGGCTGTGAATTCGCACCAGGACAAGTTCAGCTCCTCCAGCCTACACACAAATTAACAAAATTGTTAACAAGAATGGCTGAACTGCAGTTCAAGTTCTGGTATTTTTCATTATAGTTGACACTTTTAAAGCAAACACTTTTAACATGCCCACTGCTAACTTACTGTACTCATGACTAGAAATTTTAGTATGACAATAATTAAGCACTAGTAAATGGAGCAGGTTTATCCAGCTAAATCTGTCTTCGGAGATTTTCAAGATACAACCACAGAAAATCCTCATCCACCTAGACAGTGCTAATTTTAGACCCTGGTCTGGGAAAGGGGTTAAAGTGACTTCCCAAAGCAACTTTCAACTGGAATGATTCGATAATATTTTTAGGAAGTGAAGGCTCCCTCCAGATCTGCCACAGGGAGACACTGTCTTTTCATCAGGTTTGTGACCTGAATCTGTTAAAACTGAACAGATGGTCACATTGAGAGGAAAAACCACCATCCATTATTAGTACTGGTCAGATGACCAATTAATCCTAATTAGCATAAAATAATTCACAGTTTTATATAAACACTGGTCATGCTGTGAGCTCAACTCTCTTTACGTGCTTGATTACCTATAGCCTGTCACCATGGGGCTGGGACAGAGTACTGTTCTGTGTGTAGGTGTTGTAGCTGTAACGAATGGACAAAGACACAGTGAACGCACAACTAGAGCATTTAGCTGGCATTCTCTACATAATACGAAGAAACAGTTAGATTGCCACTAGCATTCCTAGGATCAGATTTGCCATCTGCTATTCACTGTGCACTGCACACACCATCATCCCATAAGGAGCTCATGATATGAGTAATCAGACCAAGCAACAGAAAGATTAAAGCTTTGGCTGCCCACTAGCTCACAATTCGATTAAAAAAAAATGCTTTTGCAGAAGGAATGATTACGTATGTTGTCCTGCAGGTCACAGGAAGTCAGCAGAAAGACTGGATATAAATCCCAAAATCACTGGGGCCCAGTTCAATAGTGTTCTGTCAGCTGATGGTTTAATCACTGGAGCTGTCAATCTGAACACAGTCCTTCATAAACTAGAAGGTTACTAAAGGATCATTCTATCATAGAAAGGCACAGTGTTCTCTGCCACTCATGCTGTACTCTGATTGCACAGGGAGCTCTGGAACTTCACTTTCCAGTTCCAAAACACACATTTTTGTCTTTGTGAGAATCACATACTCTTTTTATAAGAAAATCAAATGTACATGATATCAAAGGAACCTAAATGGGGTTTACACACCCAAAAAGATGATTCAGAAAACCCATGAAAATCTACCGAAGCACATATTTGCTATTAAAGAATAAAATAACTTGATGGAAAAAAATTACCTGACTATTCAGCTAATAATCAACTGTTAGGCATTTAGGAACAAAACAGACACATTAAAAAAAGTATTAGATACAAGAGTAACTGGGATGCCCAAGGAAAAAAACAAATCCTTTGTTTCAGGAATAGCAAAAACTGATTTTGTCTTACATAGAACAGCTGCTCAACATCAGCTCCAAGGCTTCTGCAGAAAACCCTGAGCATCCACAGAGGTTTAGTCGTATCATATTGGGATTTCTAGCAATGCTGCTGTAGGGAGAAAAAAGAAAAATCTGATGAAATCTGAATGTTGGAACATTGTTTGCTTTGCTAGGATGTGACTGTTTTTAAGACCTAATTTCCTGGACGGGGAATTGTTCATTAAACATTAAGTACTGCATCTTTAATTAAATGACCAACCTGAGTCACTAAGGGTCTCAACTCTGTAGTTGCTGCATTAAGGCACAACATTAAAAGGGATACCTGTCTATTTACTTGACATTGCTGGCAAGTATTTATAAACTACAAAGTTTACAAAGAAATGGTTTCTTTTCACCTTCTCCTGCTGTATGCCAGTAAACATACACCACAGCTTATCAGAGATGACTACACCTTTACAAATACAAAGCAACCATCCCATTTCTGACGTCACCCCTCTACCAAGACAGAGGTTATTTCAGGATAAAATCCATGTCCAAATAGCATCCCCTGAAAGCATTTGTTTGGAAAACTAGAGCACACAGGCAATTAGCAATACCTGGAACACTCAGTATACAAAATTTTGTTCAGAAGGCAATAAAAGTCCATCATTAGTGCCTGATTAGTACCCAGTTTTCAGATAGTTTTATCTGTTCCTACTGGTAGTATAAAAAGCCAAACGATACTTGTTTATTTGTACTCTGGTTCCCCATCCCTGAAGTGAGGAAGGTATCAGAAAGCAGGGCAGTCTCTGCCATCTGATGTATGGTCCCTGGCACCTCCACAATCCCCTGGTGCCTGAACAGGAGGCTGACTGGACAGCCATTAGTGTCTTTGCAGTTGAACCAAAAAAAAATGTCTGACTGACTGAATCTGTAATCTTCCAGGACTTCAGAAGTTCAACAAAAAGTGAGCAACAGTGCAAAAGCACAATGGGCACCTGGTGGGAGAGCTACTGAGGAGAGCCCTTGGAACAGAAAAAAACCTGCACACTGAACACACAGGAGCACAAAACTGGGAAAATAAAAGTAGCTCTGCTGTACAGCTTAGCTATGGGAATACGGATACATATACCCTAGAGAGGTGAGCAGTTTCTTTAACCCCCTGCTACTCTGGGGAATTAGGAGGAAAAAAGGTACCTAGAACTGGCTACTTCAAAAGACTCCCACAATGAACAACTTTCCACTGCATTCTTTCATTAGCCTGCACAAACAGAAGGTATTTCCCAAACATGTCACTCACTTGATGATGCTGTCAGAAAGCACTAGACCCTCCAAGCTGAGGTTCTGCAGCTTTTCACACAGACGAAGAATACTGTGTAGATCTGCAGCAGACACTGTGCAGTTTGACAAATCCAGGTGCTGAATTTTAAGAAGACTAACAAAAAAAAAAAAAAAAAGAGAAAGATTACTAAAATTGCATCCCATACACTAAAAGCATGCACAACTTGCAAACAATATTTCTACTGATTCCTCGTTAACACCTGAAAGTGTGTCCTGCTGAAGTTAAATGATTTTTTGAGTGTACCATATAAAAATGCTGGAGATTATGATAATTCTTTGCTCTACAATATACAAACTGCAAGGGTATTATGGTGCTTGATATTTTCAAAAAAATTACATCAACTTCGTTTTAAATAACAGGTGAATGCAGATCCTCCTGTTTCAACACTGGCTTAACCACTAATTAGCTCTTCCACTCTCCAGGAACAGCACAAACACTACTGCTCATTGCTATTACCTTAAAACCAAAAGAATGTGAATATTTGAGACACAGTTTCAGGATCTAGAACATACAGAAAAAGCCTTACTTGCTTGTTTTAAACAACGGATCCCCAATGCAAGATCTCGGGCAGCGGAACACAGTAACACCTGCAGGCAACAACTGTCCTAGCACTCCTGGCAGCAGATTCCCACCAGTCAAATCAAGAGTCTGCCACAGAGATTCATCAAACCTGGGGCACAGAATTTTACTTGTTAGTGAGTTCAAATGGGTAACGGGTCAAAGCTGTGATTACAACCACAGAATGTTTTCAGTGTTGAAAACAGACTGAGAGAAGGGAAAGCTATTTAACAGACTACAGTAATGTTAAAACATGTGAGGTATCTTTTGGCTATGCATACCCACATAAAGCCTAAATTGAATTATATATGTATAAATAAGATGAGAACCAGACCATTTAATAGTCTGTGAAAACAAAGATTTTTCCTTTGTACTAAATGACAAGAAGTAATACTTACGAAAGTCGATGCCATCTCTTGCAAATCATAGAAACTTTCAGCAAATCCTTTAGGGGCAAATAGGCAAAGATTGCCAAAAGCAATTCATCTGGAAGTGCATCCAAAGAAATACCTTTAGGGAAAGAGCAAAACATGTTCTATTAAAGCTGGTTGATTTTTGCCTGCTGGTCAGATGCCTTGTTTGGTTTGGCTGTTAAAAGCCCCTCTATGATTTCTCTGTAGGCTATACATCAGCCTACATCAGACATCGGCCCCACTATTCACCTCCCTTGCAGCTCATCATTGTAGGAAGACATTTTTAACATCTTTGCCTAGGCATGACTGGTAAACATAAAGGTTCATGTAATACTCACTTTGTATACATAGAAAAGCCACAAACACTACTCACATACTCACTTGGAGAATAAGAGCATCTCAGTTACTGCCTTTGTCATCTCATGCTTGTATGATTCTCTGAGGATGTTTTCCCCTCTGCTGAAATGCCCACTCTTCCTATGCATGGAAGAGTCCCAGAAGGGAGCTCAAGGTAAGCTATGCTTCTGCGTGATACACAGAAAAAAAACAGATACTACAAACTGCTTCCTAAAACATGCATGCTATCACCACTCCAATATTTAAGTGAAACAATGTGGTGGAATTACAGCTTCTTTCAGGTCTCCAGAAGGTGTCGTGATTCACATGGGAGATTTCTGGGTTGTGGAGCTCAGTCATTGACCCAGCACTCCATCTTACATAAAAACAGGATTGTCTGAAGGCACTCCCACCTGTGTGACAGCATAATGTCTGGAGAGAGCTGCTTATTTATTTTGCATCACATACTCATCTAGACTAAAACCACATTTTGACACCAGGGAAAGGAACACAGTACTCTTTAATGCATCTTTCAGGAGACCAAGAGCCCTGCTCTTTCCCTTTCCAGCCCAGCAGCCTTCCACCTTTTGATGTGCTTTCCCTGTAGCTCTCTGGCACAGTCCCTCATTTCCATCAGGAGCTTGGACACAGTTCCACTGGCACACCTCAGCCTGCACTCCTTACTTATCCTTCTCCTCCTGCCTCCAGACAGATAATTTTTGGATTGACTTTGGTTTTAGACTGATCGATTTTTAGCTTGCTTTTTCTCAGTGTGCTTTAACTGTCTAGTAATTAGATAAATGTTGCCAACAAACTTTGTTATACTTTTGCTTTTATATTAAACATAATTTAGCTGCTGATTCTTTGAGCAATTTTAAAACACTGATTCACAACACAACACAACACTGCTGGGCCCAAGTATCATCTATGTCCCATGCACAAGAGCAGACAGGCACAGGGACATGCCGCACAACCCTCCAGCACACACACACACACACAGGTACTCATGGGGTAAGGTAGCAGAGAACCACGCTTTTCATGGGCCACAATTCTGGAGCCAGACACACCACCCTTGTTTAAAGGCATACATAAAAGAGGATTTACCACCCCAAGCCTGAAAGCCACTAGATCTAAAAGTGACATTCTGCTGGGAAAGAGCAAAGAAACAAACAATAAAGCAGCGCAGACTTGTTATGCCCACTCTCCATCTCTGCTGAAGGGTGAACAGAACCTGGACCAGGGTGACGGTACCTGACTCTGCCTCTCGGAGCAGCCATGGCCGGCGCACGATAACAAAGTCCTTTTCGTTGTCCTTCACCTTCTGCCGTTTTGGAGGAAGGCAGGGCGACGACACCAGCAGGTCCTGTGGTGTGTTTTCATTGCCCAGCTTGTCCTTCTTAAGGGCCGACACTCCCATGCCCGATAGAAGGTCAGAGGTCTTTCCGGAGTCCAATTCCAAGCTGGTGGAAACATTAGTGCTAGAGGATGGGATCTCCTGGAGGTGCTTTCTGCAGACACAGCAAAACCCAGAGGCTCTGAGGGTACTGCCAGACTGACACCAAACACAGGATGGGGATCCTTGGAGCATTTCAGTCACTCGTACTACACATCCACACGCAGGGCGACAGAGTGTCGGACCTGCGGGCGCTGGAAGCACAGGCAGCGGCCACAGCGCAGGCCTGTGCTCGGTCTGGCAGACTTTGGGGAAGATCCCGCCAGGGATTGAGCGCGACCCGCTCCCGGATGGGGCGGGCGAGGGACCGGGGAGCGGAGCCAATGGAAGCGGCGGGATACGGCAGCCTCCCAACACCACCAACCCGGACACAGCCGCGACAGCACCGGCCGGGACCGGCGGGGCGGCAGCGCGGGCAGCGGGACGGGATGCACAAGGGAGGTGGGGGAAGCTCTCCCCGCGGCCGCCGCCCGCTGCGGCCGAAAGACAGGCGGCCCGGAGATCCCCTGGATCCCGCACCTCCGCCAGCCCTAAGGGCAGAGCCCCCCGTTCCCTCAGGACCACCCGCGGGGCAGCGCACACACACGTGTGATCCCCGCATCGCTGCCACGCCCAGAAGCCCCTTCCCGCTCCCCCGCGTCCCACACACCCACTCTCGGGGTTTCCACGCACGGCCCCTCAGCCACCCCCGCGCAGCCAGGGGGCACGAGGGGGTCCGCGAGGGCTCACATGCGGCCCCGGCGCCACGCGGGTCCCGCGTAGCCCAGCAGCGCTACTCGTATGCCCGTATCCCGGCGCATCTCCGCGTCCCGGTGTTCCCGTGTCCCGGTGCCCCCGTACCTGTACATGGCGCTGGGAGGCCCACGCGCGCCGCCGCGCGCCCCGCGCCTTTCAGCACCGCGCCATCCCGGCTCCGGCCGGAAGCAGCAGCTGGTGGGAGCGCAGAGGCTGCCGGGAGCTGTAGTTAGCAGCCCTGTGCCTGCCCGGGGGCGGGGCCGTGCCAGGCCGGTGGCGGCGGGCGGCGAATGGCGGCGGCTCCGACGCGGAAGAAGCTGGGAGAGGCCTCCGCTCCCTGCGCCACGCTCTGAGCCCGGTGCCGGCCGGGATGGCGGGCGGCGGAGCCCCGCGGGGGACGCGGCGCTGAGCGGCGGCTCGGCCGTGGTGAGGCGGCAGTGGGAAAGACGCGGGGCCGGGCGGAGCGGGGCCGCAGTGCCGAGTCACGGCCGGGCCGGTTCTCTTGAACGCGGACGAGAGCCGGGTGGGAAGCGGGGAACGATCCCCGGGGAATGTCCCCTGTGACAAGGACGCGGAGGGGAAGATGGTCGCGGGGCAGCGCTGGGTGAGGGCGGTCGGCGCGTTCGTTTCAAGGCTCTTATCCCGGGTGTTGCCCTCCCGCCAGGGACCCCGAGCTCGTAGCGCGGGGCGGTGCTGGTTCCGTGTCCGGGGATCTAGGTGCTGTGCCGCACAGGCCTGTGCGCACACGGCCGGCCGGGGAGTGCTGGCACATTTCACCGTGCGAGGTTTTATCTAGGAACACCTGAAACTGCCAGTGTGTGGCTAGTCCTGACCCTCACCATGCTTGTTCAAACCCTGCAGTATTTTCATACCGTGTTGCACAGCCGGCGGGACTTTCAGCAATGCAGCTCTTCTGCGGTTTTTTTCTCCCCCAAACTGCTTGTTTTGAAATTGGTGGGGATGGAGAACTGATTCTGAACACACCTACAACCCCGCTTTTAGTCAACCACTTGCTTGCAAGTGCTGTCCTTTGTTTAATGCATGACGATGGAGAGACGTGCCTGTAAAATTGAGGGTGCTAATGGAACCCGTGGCAAAGAGTACACAACTTTAAGTCATATACAGACAATGATGTGACTCAAATTAACATTCATATAATCTTTTAAAAAGTATTTTTTTAACCGTTTCCGGTTTTGACTTAAGTCACGGAGCAGTTGTTGAAAGATTATTTAAGCAGATAATCAGATGAAAAAGAGGTGGAGTTTTGTTCTTTTTTTTAGAAAAAAGCTGAGTTTATTTGACCTTTTCTGCAGCCCCTTTTTTCTTTGTGAATCATGTCACTCTTCTCTATTAACGTATGGGAAATTTAAAGATGATTTTGTGGAAAATCCAAGTGGTTTTTACAGTCCGGAAATTGGCAAATTGTTTGTCTGCCTGAATGAAATGTTGGGGCTGTAGTCATGTGAGTGCCTTACTGACACCTGCTTACTGTGAGTGCATTAGTCTGGTAGCCCAGATAGCAATTTCTATTCTTTTTTTAGATTCTGCTTGCAACTGTACAGTGCTTGTAATTGATTCTATTTCAGTTCCTCTGATAAGTGATTTATTTTCTTCTAGGTGTTACTTTCAGCATACTTCCCTAAATTGTTTGAAAGCTTCAGCCTCTGTGATACTTAATGTATTAGAATTTGGACTTGATGATCTTGGAGATCTTTTGCAACCTTAATGATTCTGTGATCCTTTAGTAGAGGACAGGGCAGCACCATGTAAAGTAAATGAGCTTTCCATGATTTTGTACTGATGGTCCCTGCTTGCATTTGAACACAAAAATCTTAATGTTCCTTGGTCAAGCATATGTCTTGCATTTAGTGCTACTGTGTGGAGCCTAGTCTGCAAAATCAGAGTAATGCTATTTTTATTTATTACTTTTTTTATTAGAGTGGTGTCAGCACAGCATTTTTTTTTTACTTTTAATTGGAAGATAAAAAACTTGTTTCCCTAAATATTGATCAATTATCAGTTAAACGTTTAGTCAATCTGAAATTTTTCTTCATTGCAAAGTAGTTGAATTGACAGATTCAGTCACTAAAGTATCAGTCAGTACTTAGACTGACTAGTGAGTCTTAAGAGAGCAAAGCCATGTAAATTGCTTTCTTCACTAATCTCAGAGGTTGTTTCTCTCCAATAGTGCAGTCAGATAATTTCTTTGGTTGGTTTTCTTGGGCACCTTGTGGCTATTTTATTTCTTTAGATAGCTTTCTCACTGTACAGAGATAAAGCAGCTCTTTGTTGTCTGTTTATAAATACTTACTATTTCCCCCAAGCTGTAAGGGCCAGTGTGTAATAATAAAGTAAACAGAAAAACCCAAACCAACCAGCCAATAGAACCCCTGCCCTAAACCTGAAACCAACCTAAAAGAAATCCCCACAACACACTATGCAGACGTGGATATTAAAATGGCTGAAGGGACTGTTTGTGTTGTTGCTTTACCTCTTGTTCTTCTCTGTTTATGAGTTCTGAAATGTAAGTTAGCCTATTTTGTTGTTTTAAGATGGAAGTGTCAAGGGCTCTTAGTGTGGGGCAGTTCTGTCAGTACTAAAGGCTGTAGTCTACTAATACATGTCTGTGGAGTGAAGTCTTTATGATTCTTAGCAGCATAATTTTGCCAAGCAGGGCAGGCTTCAGAAACCAAACACTGAGGTTTTTCTGCCAAGTGAAATGTGCTGGTAAAACCTCAATAAGAACTAGCAGATTATTCCTGATGGAAAGGCAAAAGCTTACCACTGAGCTGGCCATTGATATATTGCTGGTGATGGCAGCTTTTGTACTTGCAGTTGAGTTGTGAATTCAGCTTGAGGTGGGAGATGCTGTTGGCAGATACTTTTTTTGGTATATTAAGGCTCTCAGTTCTGTCCCTGACTGACTCTGATAATCCCTTTCATAGTTTGTCAACTCTTTTGGTGACAGTTTTTCTTCAGATTATGATTATGATCTTTAAAAATACAAAGTAAGGCTGCTTGGTTTTTCAGGTGTTTTAACTGAAATGTCTAAAAATGTAGCTTTTTTCAAGTCTGTTTGATCTCTACCTGAGAATACTCGAAGAACAAGAAGAAAAAAGTCTTTAGTATTCTAGAAATGTCTGAGGTACCAGACAGGAAGTCCAGAAGCATGTCTTTATTAGTAATGTTTGAAGAACAGGCTCTCCTTTTTTAATTCTTAAAAAAAAATTCTGCCGCTAAAGCTATTTGTAAGTATGTAAATACAATAGGTGATTAAAAGACAGCATCAATTTGTCAAGGACAAATAGTTGAAGTAATCTAATGTATTTCAGTAATTACTGGTAGACCTATTGTATACAAGAGAATCAGTTTATAATCTTATATACTGCTTAGTAGGACTTTGGTCCTGTTCCTTAGGATGTTTTTGCTTGGGAAAGAAAGCTGGGAAGAGCCACTGTTGTGGCTAAGGAGGCCATTCCCTTGTGTTTTAATGGTTTTTCGGAGTTTCTCTTATGAAATAGTATGATGATTAAAACTATAGAAGGCACAAAACTATGAGAGATTTCAAGTCTTTCTGAGAGTGGTAGTGTAAATCAAAATACCTTAGAGATTTGGAAACTTGGGGTGGGCAGGAATGGGTACAGCTGAGTGGAGTTTTGTGCGTGTGTTAAGCAGGAGCAATCAATCATAGAAATACAGGATAGTGAAGTAGTGTTGTGTTTCCAGGAGAGAGAGAATTTGGAGGCCTTAATAAAGCTGAATTTGTGAAGGAAACATCCTATTATCCTATTTATGCTTTTTAGTAAGGCGTGTGAAGCAGTGTTTACCCTCTGTTCAGTCCTCCTCAGGCATTTGTTAGGAGACTGGGGGAATCCTTCAGAGATACGCTTTACTCTTTCTAGCACTTCTTTAAGAATATAATATTGTAATGTCTTTGTTAACTTTGATGCTGTATTAGAGCTCTAAGAAAGTGTGGGGTTTTGAATTCTCTGCTGTTTCATTTTGTAACTTGAGATTTCTGTACCAGGCAGAGTAGTTAGTTCATTTGTAATGTAGATGTCATGAGTGCAGTTACTCTTAGTTTGGCAGGGTAATTTAATACTGTTGGTAGTAGGGAGTCTGTCATATAAAGGGAATTAAGCCTGAACTGAGCCCTTTATGATGCGTGCAGAGTTAGTAGCTGGGTAAAATTAAAAACTTAACTGATTTTTTTCTGTTAAGAAGCAGGAAAATCCTAAGCTAACACAAGAGCATGTCTTTGTATTTTATTGGTTAAGTAGCACTTTCCATGCCAGTGTTTCAGCTTTTAATCTTATTTGTATTAATCTGTAGTTACCTGGTTGTTCAGAAACTAAGTGTGCCAATAAATACTTCTCTATTCATAGTGAGGGTTCTTGTTACTTTGTCATTGCTTTTATAAGAGCATCTTTTAAGCCTTTGAAGGTTGTAGAGTACAAGAGAGCTCTTCTGAAGTAGTTATTTCAGCACAACATT